ATACATAGAGCTGTGTGAGAGATAATATGCATAGAGCTGTGTGAGAGATACTATACGTACAGCTGTGTGAGAGATACTATACATAGAGCTTTGAGAGATACTATACATGGAGCTGTATAAGAGATACTATACATAGAGTTGTGTGAGAGATATCATTTATAGAGCTGTGTGAGTGATACCATACATAGAGCTGTGTAAGAGATACCATTCATAGAGCCGTGTAAGAGATACCATATATAGAGCTTGTGACAGATACCATACATAGAGCTGTGTAAGAGGTACCATACATAGAGCTGTATGAAAGGTACCATACATAGAGCTGTGTGAGAGGTTCCATGCACAGAGCGTTGTGAGAGATACTGTAGTCGGAGCTGTGTGGGAGGTACCATACATAGAGCTGTGGGACAGATAACATGCATAGAGCTCTGTAAGAGATACTATATCTAGAGTCGTATGGGAGATACTGTATCTAGATCTATATAAAATATACTATGCCTAGAGCTTTAGGAGTAATACTATACCCAGATCTGTGTGACTGATACTATACCTAGATCTGTGTAAGAAACACAATACATAGATCTGCGTAAGTGATACTATACCTAGATCTGTGTAAGTGATACTATACCTAGATCTGTGTAAGTGATACTATACCTAGATCTGTGTAAGAGACACAATACATAGATCTGCGTAAGTGATACTATACCTAGATCTGTGTAAGAGACACAATACCTAGATCTGTGTAAAAGACACAATACCTAGGTATGTGTAAGAGCTAGATCTGTGTTAGACACACAATACCTCATGCTGTGTAAGAGACACTATACCTAGAGCTGTGTAAGAGACACAATACCCAGAGCTGTGTAAGAGACACAATACCTAGAGCTGTGTAAGAGACACAATAACTAGATGTGTGTAAGAGACACAATACATAGAGCTGTGTAAGAGACACAATATCTAGATCTGTGTAAAAGACACAATACCTAGATCTGTGTAAGAGACACTATACCTAGATCTGTGTAAGAGACACAATACCTAGATCTGTGTAAGAGACACAATACCTAGATCTGTGTAAGAGACACAATACCTAGATCTGTGTAAGAGACACAATACCTAGATCTGTGTAAGAGACACAATACATAGATCTGTGTAAGAGACACTATACCTAGATCTCTGTAAAAGACACAATACATAGAGCTGTGTAAGAGACACAATACATAGAGCAGTGTAGGAGACACAAATACATAGATCTGTGTAGGAGACACAATACATAGATCTGTAAGAGACACAATACATAGATCTGTGTAGGAGACACAATACATAGATCTGTAAGAGACACAATACATAGATCTGTGTAGGAGACACAATACATAGATCTGTGTAGGAGACACAATACATAGATCTGTAAGAGACACAATACCTAGATCTGTGTTAGAGACACAATATCTAGATCTGTGTGAGACACAATACATAGATCTGTGTGAGACACAATACATAGATCTGTGTAAGAGACACAATACATAGATCTGTGTGAGACACAATACCTAGATCTGTGTAAGAGACACAATACATAGATCTGTGTGAGACACAATACATAGATCTGTGTGAGACACAATACATAGATCTGTGTGAGACACAATACATAGATCTGTTTGAGACACAATACCTAGATCTGTGTAAGAGACACAATACATAGATCTGTGTGAGACACAATACATAGATCTGTGTGAGACACAATACATAGATCTGTGTGAGACACAATACCTAGATCTGTGTAGGAGACACAATACATAGATCTGTGTAGGAGACACAATACATAGATCTGTGTGAGACACAATACATAGATCTGTGTGAGACACAATACATAGATCTGTGTGAGACACAATACATAGATCTGTGTAGGAGACACAATACATAGATCTGTGTAGGAGACACAATACATAGATCTGTGTGAGACACAATACAAAGATCTGTGTGAGACACAATACATAGATCTGTGTAGGAGACACAATACATATATCTGTGTGAGACACAATACATAGATCTGTGTAGGAGACACAATACATAGATCTGTGTAGGAGACACAATACATAGATCTGTGTAGGAGACACAATACATAGATCTGTAAGAGACACAATACACAGATCTGTGTAGGAGACACAATACATAGATCTGTAAGAGACACAATACATAGATCTGTGTAGGAGACACAATACATAGATCTGTGTAGGAGACACAATACATAGATCTGTGTGAGACACAATGCATAGATCTGTGTGAGACACAATACATAGATCTGTAAGAGACACAATACATAGATCTGTGTAGGAGACACAATACATAGATCTGTGTAGGAGACACAATACATAGATCTGTGTAGGAGACACAATACATAGATCTGTAAGAGACACAATACATAGATCTGTGTAGGAGACACAATACATAGATCTGTAAGAGACACAATACATAGATCTAATTAAGAGACACTATACCTAGAGCTGCGAGAGAGATACTTTTTTTTAAAGCACAGGAGATAATGGCGATGTGTTGTTGTTGGTTCAGACGTCCAACAGCCACATCTGAACACTACTTTTTGCTGCAAGAGTTGCTGAAGAGATCCAATGAAGCAGTAATGGACTTATCTTGAGTTCAAGAAGCTGATCTTCGCGATCAATTGCCACTGCACGCGTTTCAATACCTGAATGGAAGCTTTCAAACACATCATGGGCGAAAACCGCAGCATTGGTCCATGCTTCTTTCTTAGGACGGTACCTTCCAAGTGTATTTGGAAGAAGATCTCGCCTCCTAGGCTGATGTGAAATTTTTCTGGCGATTATCTTTTCTATCAGCTTGCCTACAGTATTTTGCATAGTGATTATCTGATATCCCTATAGAGCTGTGTGAAAGATACTATACCTAGAGCTGTGTAAGAGATCCTATACCTAGAGCTGTGTGAGAGATACTATACCTAGAGCTGTGTAAGAGATACTATACCTAGAGCTGTGTTAGAGATACTATACCTAGAGCTTTGTAAGAGATACTATACCTAGAGCTGTGTGAAAGATACTATACCTAGAGCTGCGTGAGAGGTACTATGCCTAGAGCTGTATGATAGATACTTTATTTAGAGCTGTGTGAGATATACTTTATTTAGAGCTGTGTGAGAGATACTTTATTTAGAGCTGTGTGAGAGATACTTTATTTAGAGTTGTGTGAGAGATACTATACCTAGAGCTGCGTGATAGATACTTTATTTAGAGCTGTGTGAGAGATACTATACCTAGAGCTGTGTAAGAGATATTATACCTAGAGCTGCGTGAGAGATACTATGCCTAGAGCTGTTTGATAGATACTTTATTTAGAGCTGCGTGAGATATACTTTATTTAGAGTTGTGTGAGAGATACTATACCTAGAGCTGTGTGATAGATACTTTATTTAGAGCTGCGTGAGATATACTTTTTTTTAGAGTTGTGTGAGAGATACTATACCTAGAGCTGTGTGAGAGATACTATACTTAAAGCTGTGTTAGAGATACTATACCTAGAGCTGTGTGATAGATACTTTATTTAGAGCTGCGTGAGAGATACTTTATTTAGAGCTGTGTGAGAGATACTATACCTAGAGCTGTGTGATAGATACTTTATTTAGAGCTGCGTGAGAGATACTTTATTTAGAGCTGTGTGAGAGATACTTTATTTAGAGCTGTGTGAGAGATACTTTATTTAGAGCTGCGTGAGAGATACTTTATTTATAGCTGTGTGAGAGATTCTTTATTTAGAGCTGTGTGAGAGATACTTTATTTAGAGCTGCGTGAGAGAAACTTTATTTAGAGCTGCGTGAGAGATACTTTATTTATAGCTGTGTGAGAGATACTTTATTTAGAGCTGCGTGAGAGATACTTTATTTATAGCTGTGTGAGAGATACTTTATTTAGAGCTGTGTGAGAGATACTTTATTTAGAGCTGCGTGAGAGATACTTTATTGAGAGCTGCGTGAGAGATACTTTATTTAGAACTGCGTGTGAGATACTATGCCCAGAGCTGCGTGAGAAATCCTATGCCCAGAGCTGTGTGAGAAATTTTATGCCCAGAGCTGCGTGAGAAATCCTATGCCCAGAGCTGCGTGAGAAATCCTATGCCCAGAGCTGCGTGAGAAATCCTAAGCCCAGAGCTGTGTGAGAAATTTTATGCCCAGAGCTGCGTGAGAAATCCTATGCCCAGAGCTGCGTGATAAATCCTATGCCCAGAGCTGCGTGAGAAATCCTATGCCCAGAGCTGCGTGAGAAATCCTATGCCCAGAGCTGTGTGAGAAATTTTATAACTAGACCAGCGTGAGAGGTACTATGTCTAGAGCTGCATGAGAGATTATTTAGAGCTGCACGAGAGTTACTATACCAAGACTGGCTTGCTAGGAATACTATACCTAGAGCGGTGTGACAGATACTATACCCAGACTGGCTTGTTAGGAATACTATACCTAGAGCGGTGTGACAGATCCTATACCAAGACTGGCTTGCTAGGAATACTATACCTAGAGCGGTGTGACAGATACTATACCCAGACTGGCTTGCTAGGAATACTATACCTAGAGCGGTGTAACAGATACTATAGCCAGACTGGCTTGCTAGGAATACTATACCTAGAGCGGTGTGACAGATACTATAGCCAGACTGGCTTGCTAGGAATACTATACCTAGAGCGGTGTGACAGATACTATACCCAGACTGGCTTGCTAGGAATACTATACCTAGAGCGGTGTGACAGATACTATAGCCAGACTGGCTTGCTAGGAATACTATACCTAGAGCGGTGTAACAGATACTAAACCCAGAGTGACTTTCCATGAATACTATACCTAGAGCGGTGTAACAGATACTATACCCAGACTGGCTTGCCAGGAATACAATACCTAGAGAGGTGTAACAGATACTAAACCCAGTGACTTTCCAGGAATACTATACCTAGAGCGGTATACTATAGCCAGACTGGCTTGCCAAGAATACTGTACCTAGAGCGGCTGCAGTGATACATTTCTCCAGGTAGACAGGGTAGCCACAGACAGGCAGCAGTGTGATTGTGTACTTGGCGAATGTCAGGAGTACGATCACCATGGAGGACGGGCCTTGAACAAACACCGCCTGTGGACAGGAGATGCGGGAAAATATATTCCACCTGACTTTATCACACATACACACTCCTAGCGTTACTGCTCCTTACACTTATCTGTATTCTAGCGATCTGCTCCTTATACTTGTCTGTATACTAGCGTTACTGATCCCTACACTTATCTGTATTCTAGCGTTACTGCTCCTTATACTTATCTGTAAACTAGCGTTACTGATCCCTACACTTATCTTTATGCTAGCGTTTCTGCTCCTTATACTTATCTGTATGCTAGCGTTACTGATCCTGATCTTTATCTGTATGCTAGCGTTACTTATCCTTATACTTATCTGTATGCTGGCGTTACTGATTCCTACACTTATCTGTATGCTAGCGTTACTGCTCCTTACACTTATCTGTATGCTAGCGTTACTGATCCTTACACTTAACTGTATGCTAGCGTTACTACTCCTTACACTTATCCTTATGCTAGCGTTACTGCTCCTTACACTTATCTGTATGCTAGCGTTACTGACCCTTACACTTATCTGTATGCTAGCGTTACCGCTTCTCACACTTATCTGTATGCTAGCGTTACTGCTGCTTACACTTATCTGTATGCTAGCGTTACTGCTCCTTACACTTATATACATGCTAGCGTTACTGCTCCTTAAACTTATCTGTATGCTAGCGTTACTGATCCCTACACTTATCTGTATGCTAGCGTTACTGATCCTTACACGTATCTTTATGCTAGCGTTACTGCTCCTTACACTTATCTGTATGTTAGCGTTACTGATCCCTACACTTATCTGTATGCTAGCGTTACTGATCCTTACACGTATCTATATGCTAGCGTTACTGCTCCTTACACTTATCTGTAAGCTAGCGTTACTGATACTTACACTTATCTGTATGCTAGCGTTACTGCTCCTTACACTTATCTGTATGCTAGCGTTACTGCTCCTTACACTTATCTGTATGCTAGCGTTACTGATCCTTACACTTATCTGTATGCTAGCATTACTGCTCCTTACACTTATCTGTATGCTAGCGTTACTGCTCCTCACACTTATCTGTATGCTAGCGTTACTGATCCTTATCTGTGTATTAGTATAAAGCACGCACAAGACCCGAGAAGAAATGTCTCTGCTTTTTTTCCCTCTTAGCGTTTACCAGCTGTATGATTGATATAATTGATTTGTTTCAAGAACCGACTTCACAGCACTCGGGGCATTCCCATAAGCGTTCCGTCCCCATCTTCAGCAGTAACATTCTGATTTTTTAAAGCATGTCTTGCCTTTCCTCTTAGCCTCGAGCATCTGCCAGAACCTCTTGTCAATCCCCTCTGCATCAATCTTAAAAGACTGTGGGGATCGATCTGCTCCCCAAAACTGTACTCGCTCTCCCACAAGGCCCTAACCACCTCTGCCTTATCATGTATCAGTATTCCGCCAAGTTGTGCGGAGCCAGCCAGTCTGTACGCCTGTTCATTTCCTAACACTGGCGTGCCCCGGTAAAAAAAATCTAGCCAAGCTCCTCACCCGTCCCTCCGCAGCGAAGCATGCCACTCTGCACGAAGCATGCCTGTCCTGATCTTCCTCAGCATGCTTTCTGAGTCAATTACAATCATCACGATGTGTGTGTGCGTGCGTGCGTGTGTGTGTGTGTGTGTGTGTGTGTGTGTGTGTGTGTGTGTCGTGTTCTCTAACCAGCGGAAAGCTGCCGTGACCACCTCCATTCTTAAGCTGGATGTTGTGGTCTCCTGCACCAAACGTCGACCATTAACTTTTGCTAAGAAACACCAAGCACTTCTACTGCCTCTTGACACTGAACCGTCTGTGTAAATGATCAAATCTTCTGAGCGAGCATTATCTTGAATTAATTGCTGAATGTCCACCTCTGTGGCACCTGCTGGACAGTCTCTGCATTCCCGGCTCAGTGTGATTATGACCCTACAAGAGTCTGACTGCTCAGGTAGCACTTTGACTCACTACTTTCCTCGCCTAATGTTCTCAAGGATGCAAACCTGTCTGACTGTGTACCACAATCCACTGCCATCAGAATGTTCTGGTTATTTGTCCATGTCTGGACTTTAGCGTTGATCCACAACTGAAGTTGCGCTCATGTGACTTATTTATGATTAAACCCAAGTTTTTCGCCTCTCTTTTATGGAAGGGCCTATCTGCCCCCCCCCGCCCCCACCCCCATTCACCCGCACCCATACCCCACCCGTCCCCATAACCCAATAGGGCCCTCAGAACCCACACAGAGAAGCAGGAATGTAAAAATATAGATCTCTACCTGAAAGACGTACATAAAGGCCATGATATTGCCGAGCCCCATGCGTAAGTAGGTGTAGGAGCCTCCGGATCTCGGTATCATTGCCCCTAGTTCTGCGTAACACAAGGCACCTAGAAATGATCAGTCACCGGTAAAAGATTAAAACAATGTAATACATGGCACTTTGTCAATATTAGTGACAGGTGGAAGATTAGAACAGTGTAACACATGGCACTTTGTCAATATTAGTGACAGGTGGAAGATTAGAACAGTGTGATACATGGCACTTTGTCAATATTAGTGACAGGTGGAAGATTAGAACAGTGTGCTACATGGCACTTTGTCAATATTAGTCACAGGTGGAAGATTAGAACAATGTAATACATGGCACTTTGTCAATTTTAGTGACAGGTGAAAGATTAGAACAATGTAACACATGGCACTTTGTCAATATTAGTGACAGGTGGAAGATTAGAACAATGTAACACATGGCACTTTGTCAATATTAGTGACAGGTGGAAGATTAGAACAATGTAACACATGGCACTTTGTCAATATTTGTGACAGGTGGAAGATCAATGTAACACATGGCACTTTGTCAATATTAGTGACAGGTGGAAGATTAGAACAATGTAACACATGGCACTTTGTCAATATTAGTCACAGATGGAAGATTAGAACAGTGTAATACATGGCACTTTGTCAATATTAGTCACGGATGGAAGATTAGAACAATGTAACACATGGAACTTTGTCAATATTAGTCACAGGTGGAAGATTAGAACAGTGTAATACATGGCACTTTGTCAATATTAGTGACAGGTGGAAAATTAGAACAGTGTGATACATGACACTTTGTCAATGTTAGTGACAGGTGGAAGATTAGAACAATGTAACACATGGCACTTTGTCAATATTAGTGACAGGTGAAAGATTAGAACAGTGTAATACATGGCACTTTGTCAATATTAGTCACGGATGGAAGATTAGAACAATGTAACACATGGAACTTTGTCAATATTAGTCACAGGTGGAAGATTAGAACAGTGTAATACATGGCACTTTGTCAATATTAGTGACAGGTGGAAAATTAGAACAGTGTGATACATGACACTTTGTCAATGTTAGTGACAGGTGGAAGATTAGAACAATGTAACACATGGCACTTTGTCAATATTAGTGACAGGTGAAAGATTAGAACAGTGTAATACATGGCACTTTGTCAATATTAGTCACGGATGGAAGATTAGAACAATGTAACACATGGAACTTTGTCAATATTAGTCACAGGTGGAAGATTAGAACAGTGTAATACATGGCACTTTGTCAATATTAGTGACAGGTGGAAAATTAGAACAGTGTGATACATGACACTTTGTCAATGTTAGTGACAGGTGGAAGATTAGAACAATGTAACACATGGCACTTTGTCAATATTAGTGACAGGTGAAAGATTAGAACAGTGTAACACATGGCACTTTGTCAATATTAGTGACAGGTGGAAGATTAGAACAATGTAATACATGGCACTTTGTCAATATTAGTCACAGGTGGAAGATTAGAACAGTGTGATACATGACACTTTGTCAATATTAGTCACAGGTGGAAGATTAGAACAATGTAATACATGGCACTTTGTCAATATTAGTCACAGGTAAAAGATTAAAACTATGTAATACATGGCACTTTTTCAATATTAGTGACAGGTGAAAGATTAGAACAGTGTAACACATGGCACTTTGTCAATATTAGTGACAGGTGGAAGATTAGAACAATGTAATACATCGCACTTTGTCAATATTAGTCACAGGTGGAAGATTAGAACAGTGTGATACATGACACTTTGTCAATATTAGTCACAGATGGAAGATTAGAACAGTGTGATACATGGCACTTTGTCAATATTAGTCACAGGTGAAAGATTAGAACAGTGTAATACATGGCACTTTGTCAATATTAGTCACATGTGGAAGATTAGAACAGTGTAACACATGGCACTTAAAAAGTATTAGTGACAGGTGGAAGATTAGAACAGTGTGACACGTAGCACGTAGTAAGTATTAGTGACAGGTGGAAGATTAGAACAGTGTGACACGTAGCACGTAGTAAGTATTAGTGACAGGTGAAAGATTAGAACAGTGTGACACGTAGCACGTAGTAAGTATTAGTGACAAGTGGAAGATTAGAACAGTGTGACACGTAGCACGTAGTAAGTATTAGTGACAGGTGAAAGATTAGAACAGTGTGACACGTAGCACGTAGTAAGTATTCGTGACAAGTGGAAGATTAGAACAGTGTGACACGTAGCACGTAGTAAGTATTAGTGACAGGTGGAAGATTAGAACAGTGTAACACGTGGCACTTAGTAAGTATTAGTGACAGGTGGAAGATTAGAACAGTGTGACACGTAGCACGTAGTAAGTAATAGTCACAGGCGGAGAGAAAGAGCAGCGTGACACGAAGTACCTTTCAAATGTCATTTATATGTAGATTGGAACAGCACTGTCAGCAACCTTATTCCTGGTTTGCAGGCTTGTGTCTTGTTGGTAGTCTAATGACAGATAATCCATCACTACGCAACACTAAGCCAAATACTTACAGAGTACGCACATCGATCTATTATGTACTGAACAATAAACAACCGGTAGTCCACCACAGAAACTATGTTTTTACACTATCATAAACGCGGCTGTGAGGACTTTAAAATCACAACTCACTCCCAGGCCATCCCGTTCTACATATAATACCTAGGCCGAACCCACCCTTGTTTCCCATTCAAGTTGTTGCCTCTGCCACTGTACCCGACACCAGGCCGATGTGTCTGGACTGATTAAGTCGCCAATTACTACACAAGCCCCCCAATTTTAGGCATATTGTCTCACGTTTCTATCAGAAACCTCGTCTCATGTTTCTAGTGAATACAATCTCCAACGTTTCTATTTGACACATTCTCCCCTGCTTGTAGTGAAAACATTCTTTCATTTTTCTGTTGGACACATTATCTCATGTTTCTAAAAGACACATTCTCTAATGTTTATATTAGACACATTCTCTCATATTACCATTGGACTCATTTTCTGGTGTTTCTATTGGTCAGGTTTACTGATGTTTCTATTGGACACATTCTTTTATGTTTCTATTGGACACAATCTCTTATGTTTCACATGAAAACATTTTTTAACGTTTCTTTTAGACACAATCTCTCATGTATCTATCAGATGCATGCTCTCATGTATCTCTTGGACACATTCTCCCATGTTTCTGTTGGACACATTCTCATATGTTTCTGTTGGACACATTCTTCCATGTTTCTGTTGGACAAATTCTCCCATGTTTCTGTTGGACACATTCTCCAATGTTTCTGTTGGACACATTCTCCCATTTTTCTGTTGGATACATTTTCCTATGTTTTTATTGGACATATTCACTCATGTTTCTGTTGGACACATTGTCTCATGTTTCTGTTGGACACATTGTCTCATGTTTCTGTTGGACACATTCTCTCATGTTTCTGTTGGACACATTCTCCCATATTTCTGTTGGACACATTGTCTCTTGTTTCTGTTGGACACATTGTCTCATGTTTCTGTTGGACACATTCTTTCATGTTTCTGTTAGACATACTGTCTCATGTTTCTGTTGGACACATTGTCTCATGTTTCTGTTGGACACATTGTCTCATGTTTCTGCTGGACACATTGTCTCATGTTTATATTGGACACAATCTCTCATGTTTCTGTTGAACACATTGTCTCATGTTTCTGTAGGACACATTCTCTCATGTTTCTGTTGGACACATTGTCTCATGTTTTAGTTGGACACATTTTCTCATGTTTCTGTTGGACACATTCTCTCATGTTTCTGTTAGACACATTCTCCCATGTTTCTGTTGGACACATTCTCCCATGTTTTTGTTGGACATATTGTCTCATGTTTCTGTTGGACACATTGTCTCATGCTTCTGTTAGACACATTGTCTCATGTTTATGCTGGACACATTCTCCCATGTTTCTGTTGGACACATTGTCTCATGTTTCTGTTGGACACATTCTCCCATGTTTTAGTTGGACACATTGTCTCATGTTTCTGCTGGACACATTGTCTCATGCTTCTGTTAGACACATTGTCTCATGTTTATGCTGGACACATTCTCCCATGTTTCTGTTGGACACATTGTCTCATGTTTCTGTTGGACATATTGTCTCATGTTTCTGTTGGACACATTGTCTCATGTTTCTGTTGGACACATTCGCTCATGCTTCTGTTGGACACATTCTCCCATGTTTCTGTTGGACACACTCTCCCATGTTTCTGTTGGACACATTCTCCCATGTATCTGTTGGACACATTCTCCCATGTTTCTGTTGGACACATTCTCTCATGTTTCTGTTGGACACATTCTCCCATGTTTCTGTTGGACATATTGTCTCATATTTCTGTTGGACACATTGTCTCATGTTTCTGCTGGACACATTCTCCCATGTTTTTGTTGGACATATTGTCCCATGTTTCGGTTGGACACATTCTCCCATGTTTTTGTTGGACATATTGTCTCATGTTTCTGTTGGACACATTCTCCCATGTTTCTGTTGGACACATTCTCCCATGTTTCTGTTGGACACATTCTCCCATGTTTCTGTTGGACACATTCTCCCATGTTTCTGTTGGACACATTCTCCCATGTTTCTGTTGGACACATTCGCCCATGTTTCTGTTGGACATATTGTCTCATATTTCTGTTGGACACATTGTCTCTTGTTTCTGTTGGACACATTCTCCCATGTTTCTGCTGGACACATTTTCTCATGTTACTGCTGGACACATTGTCTCATGTTTCTGTTGGACACATTCTCTCATGTTTCTGTTGGACACATTGTCTCATGTTTCTGTTGGACATATTCTCTCATTTTTCTGCTGGACACATTGTTTCATGTTTCTGTTGGACACATTCTCTCATGTTTCTGCTGGACACATTGTCTCATGTTTCTGTTGGACACATTGTCTCATGTTTCTGTTGGACATATTCTCTCATGTTTCTGCTGGACACATTGTCTCATGTTTCTGTTGGACACATTGCCTCATGTTTCTGTTGGACACATTCTCTCATGTTTCTGTTGGACACATTGTCTCATGTTTCTGTTGGACACATTCTCTCATGTTTCTGTTGGACACATTCTCCCATGTTCCTGTTGGACATATTGTCTCATGTTTCTGCTGGACACATTGTCTCATGTTTTTGTTAGACACATTGTCTCATGTTTCTGCTGGACACTTTCTCCCATGTTTCTGTTGGACACATTGTCTCATGTTTCTATTGGATACATTCTCTCATGTTTCTTTTGGACACATTGTCTCATGTTTCTGCTGGACACATTGTCTCATGTTTCTGTTGGACACGTTGTCTCATGTCTCTGTTGGACATATTGTCTCATGTTTCTGCTGGACACATTGTCTCATGTTTCTGTTGGACACATTGTCTCATGTTTCTGTTGGACACGTTGTCTCATGTTTCTGCTGGACATATTGTCTCATGTTTCTGTTGGACACATTGTCTCATGTTTCTGTTGGACACGTTGTCTCATGTTTCTGCTGGACACATTCTCCCATGTTTCTGTTGGACACATTGTCTCATGTTTCTGCTTGGACACATTGTCTCATGTTTCTGTTGGATATATTGTCTCATGTCTCTGTTGGACACGCTGTCTCATGTTTCTGCTAGACACATTCTCCCATGTTTTTGTTGGAAACATTGTCTCATGTTTCTGCTGGACACATTCTCTCGTGTTTCTGTTGGACACATGGTCTCATGTTTCTGATGGACACATTCTCTCATGTTTCTGCTGGACACATTGTCTCATGTTTATATTGGACACATTCTCTCATGTTTCTGTTGAACACATTGTCTCATGTTTCTGTAGGACACATTCTCTCATGTTTCTGTTGGACACATTGTCTCATGTTTCTGTTGGACATATTCTGGAATCTTTCTGTTGGACACATTTTCTCATGTTTCAATTCAACACATTCTCCTATTTGTCGGTTGCATACATTTTCCTGTATGTCTAGTCAAAACATTCTCACATGCTTCTATTGAACACATTATTCCACGTTTATACTTAATAAATTCGCCTATGTTTCTATTGGACACATTTTCCCATGTGTCTTTTGAACACATGCTCCCATTTTCTTTTGAATACTTTTTTCTCATTTTTCTATTGAACACTTTGTCTGCACTGAATGGACATGCATTAGACACGAAAGTTCAAACAAAAGCAGTTACTTACTTCCGAGCTGTGCTACTCCAGCCAGTATCCACACCAGCAGACACTACAGTTCAAACACAAGCAGTTACTTACTTCCGAGCTGTGCTACTCCAGCCAGTATCCACACCAGCAGACACTACAGTTCAAACACAAGCAGTTACTTACTACCGAGCTGTGCTACTCCAGCCAGTGCCCACACCATCAGACACGACAGTTCAAACACAAGCAGTTACTTCCGAGCTGTGCTACTCCAGCCAGTGCCCACACCATCAGACACGACAGTTCAAACACAAGCAGTTACTTACTTCCGAGCTGTGTTACTCCAGCTAGTGCCCACACCATCAGACACTACAGTTCAAACACAAGCAGTTACTTACTTCCGAGCTGTGCTACTCCAGCCAGTGCCCACACCAGCAGACACTTCAGTTCAAACACAAGCAGTTACTTACTTCCGAGCTGTGCTACTCCAGCCAGTATCCACACCAGCAGACACTACAGTTCAAACACAAGCAGTTACTTACTTCCGAGCTGTGCTACTCCAGCCAGTGCCCACACCATCAGACACTACAGTTCAAACACAAGCAGTTACTTACTTCCGAGCTGTGCTACTCCAGCCAGTCCCCACACCATCAGACACTACAGTTCAAACACAAGCAGTTACTTACTTCCGAGATGTGCTACTCCATCCAGTGCCCACACCAGCAGACACGACAGTTCAAACACAAGCAGTTACTTACTTCCGAGCTGTGCTACTCCAGCTAGTGCCCACACCATCAGACACAACAGTTCAAACACAAGCAGTTACTTACTACCGAGCTGTGCTACTCCAGCCAGTGCCCACACCAGCAGACACAAGCCAACAGATCCCGTGGCTCGGAGCACACCCTTAGGTGAGATGAAGATTCCTGAACCTGTCAACAAAAGATACAAGACACACAGAAGTAAAGCTGACTGCAAGACATATTGTCATCACTTATATAAAACTATACCAGTGATAATTTGACTGGCATGAACTATATGTCACATATCACTCCTGTCACGTGCCTGATGTAAGGATTTCTCCTTCAGAACCAGCAGCACTCAGAAATAATTATGTTGAGTCGTTTGGCTCGTATTGGTCTAAGGGATTCCCCGTGGCCAATATACGCTCAACTTATTTATGGAGTAGGGCAACTCAAGTATTGGCACTATAAAATATATCAGTTTATAAATACAATATTCCTAGGCACACTTGGCTGGACACCCCCACTACTTACTAAAGAAAGCCCCCAGGTTATGATAAGTCATTATCATAACCATGTTAACACATATAGCTAAGATTCATACACACACAAATGCTACACATTTAAAAAGGTGAAATAGAGAAACCTAAGTCAGCCATGAAAATGAATGCATGTATTCATTACAACATGTACAAAATAGAAAATAGTGAAGTAGATGTCAAAACACAACAGCTGGATTCCAGAATACAATGACTATAATCAACCAAAGTTAAACAGTCAGAAAGTCCTGGAGGAAGCATATATTCATCCTTGGAATCCAGTGGAGTTGTGGGGAATATAGCATAATCGAGACATACACTTCACTTATCCCAGTTCCACTGTTGATGCCTCACTCAGCTCCGGGTGAATCGACTGTCTTTGACCCTGGTACTTCTGCTCAACTGGATCAGGTAATGGAAGAGTACCTCACCATAGAGGACGCAGCAACTGGATAGGCACACAGCACCTTGATAGGCACACAGCAACTGGATAGGCACACAGCAACTGGATAGGCACACAGCAACTGGATAGGCACACAGCACCTTCTCCCACGTGTAACTCACAGCACGGTCCCTGAGCTACACACATGCTCTGGCACTGGATGATGTTTGGTTTATATTGTACCCCATCTTGAGGAGGACAGTCTTCTCAATTGGTAGTTGGGTGATAATAAGTAGGTGATGGGTTAATTGATTGATGGGTTATGGGTTATGGTTGGTGGGTGTTGGTTGGACTGTGAATCTTCTGCCAGCTCCTCACAAAGGATTCATCCCAAGCATATGAAAGGTCCTAGACATTACAGATCGCCTTGTTCAAATGAATTATACAGGCATCGATTGACACGTCTTGACGCTAGGAAGCCGGCAAGAGAGAATGCCGCCAATTGCGCACTTCAAGCGTTGGTAAAAAAGGAGTTCCCAGTATACATGGGCAAGGAGTAAATCGGTTTCTAAGAAACCTCAAATAACTCCTCTAATATTTATCCAATATATATACATTTAAAAGTGGAGTTTAGTCAAAGCAACTAGAAAATGTAGACATAATAATGTTGTCCAATAAAGGCATATATATATATAGATATAAGGGACTATATCTTTCCGGACGAGTCCAAGTTTGAATTTTGTGCCCATTACAGGTAGGTCAAGTTACCAGTCTTACGGACTGATGCGTAATGGCTTATCATTCCACGACACTATACTTGTTTGTTTTCATGTGACCAACAAAAACTGTAGCAACAATCCAGGCACTAAACAACGTGTGTTCATCTGGGGAGTTCGGTATGACCTAGTAGTTACCAGCTTATGTGTCATCATCGTGTACCTTATTGAGCGACGCAAGTCATAATAATCAGTCACCTATCACTAGGCTCCGACAGCTGAAATCTTTACACAAACGCCTTTTTTTTTTGTATTTCAATCATCTAGCAGTCTTAGTCTTTCCGTCTTTAATTTATAACGACATCAATATTTGTGGCTTCTGTATCACTCCTCCATCAGTGGCTCATTTTGTCAATCTTCATAAAGCTACCAATCATCTTAGCTTCTGTATCAGACATCCAGCAAAAATAATCTTGTTGGCTCATGTATTGACACATCCAGCAAGGCCACCAGTCTTCACAGCTCCTGTATTCATACATCTAGCAAGGACATCACTTTTCTGGGCTCCAGTATTTTCACATATCTAGCAAGTCCAACGGTCTTCATATCTCCTGTATCACACATCCCCCAAGGCCATCGATCTTGTTGACTCCGGTATCACACATCGACCAAGGCCATCGATCTTGCTGATTCTAGTATCACACATCCACCAAGGCCATCGATCTTGCTGACTCCAGTATCACACATTCACCAAGACCAGCGATCTCGCTGACTCCGGTATCACACACCAACCAAGGCCATCGATATTGCTGACTCCAGTATCACACACCTACCAATGCCATCGATCTTGTTGTCTCCTGTATCACACATCCACTAAGGCCATCGATCTTGCTGACTCCAGTATCACACATCCACCAAGGCCATCGATTTTGCTGACTCCAGCATCACACATCCACCAAGGCTATCGATCTTGTTGACTCCGGTATCACACATCCACTAAGGCCATCGACCTTGCTGACTCCAGTATTACACATCCACCAAGGCCATCGATCTTGTTGACTCCTGTATCACACATCCACCAAGGCCATCGATCTTGTTGACTCCAGTATCACACACCCACCAAGACCATCGATCTTGCTGACTCAAGTATCACACATCCACTAAGGCCATCGATCTTGCTGACTCCAGTATCAAACATCCACCAAGGCCATCGATCTTGCTGACTCCTGTATCACACATCCACCAAGGCCATCAGTCTTGATTGCTCCTGTATCACACTTGCAGCAATGCCATAAATCTTGTTGTCTCCTGTATCACCCACCCAGCAAAGCTATCAGTCTTATATAGCACCACATCTGTCTCCTCTGACTTGTCACTGATAAGCGTGCATACCTGGGCACTGACAGCAACTGGATTCTGCTACCGACAACTCCTTTCGAGCGTCACGACACAGGAGAATGTGAGATTGGGTGCCTTAGACGCTGGTATCTATTCCTCACCTGGATGGATGTTTGTAAGGCTGCAAACCTGCATGATGTCATCCTCTGCCCTACCTAGTCATGATTTACTCATTTTAAACCTATTTCCCTTTTTCTTGAAAAGCATGTGGTGCAAAAAGTACTTAAGATCTGAGCTTATCTTGAGGTTTGCACGAGCTCTCCAGATCTTGATCCTGTAGTTTCTGGTAGGGAAGTCAAGAAGGCACCTTATTGCTACACAAGAGGTGTCTCCAGGCAAACCAGAAAAATGCGCATTGCTTCATTTTGCACCTTCTCAAGTCTTTCAGTATGGCTTACAGTGAGGATGGAAAAAAGCATACTCGTTGGGAAAAAGTACGTCCCTGGAACAGAAGCAGTCTCTGTTCAGTGTTAGCGGCGGGCCGGACCCTAACTGTTGACACGCCTTTGCGTGCTTAGGTTATGAAATGGTCAATATGTTATTTGAAGGATAGGCTGCGATCATACCTCACTCCGAGGCATTTCATCAGATTTGCTCTAGTCAAAATTTCTTAGCTGCTTTCCACTGCTGGTAAATCTACTAACTGCGTGTTCAAGGAGAACCACATTACTGAGGCCTTCGAACGGCTGACATGAGCATTAGTATCTGCACATCAGGAGGAGATGCGATCAAGTTCACTCTGCATTGAATTGGCAATCTCGTGACGATCCTTTCCATGTCGATATACCAAGAGGTCCAGCAAATGACCAGGTCCTGCCATTCCCGTGCAACTGCTCCTCAGTTATCAGCACTATGTAAAAGTTAAATAGCACTGGAGACAGCGGAAAACTTTGATGCAATTATGGACTGATGGTTATCGGTTCTGATCAAACATCACCCGTCTCTGAAACAGTGTTGCGGCTACCCAGCGGGTGATGAAGGGAAATACTTGCAGTTGGAGAGGTATGTGTACCAAGTATTCAAATTGTACTCTGTCGTACGCATCTGCTAAGTCTAGTGCAGCTGCACATGTCTCATCTCTCATCTGAAAACCTTCATAGACTTCACAGGCCAAGACTGCTGCATTGAGCCAAGTCTCTTTGTTTCGTCTGTATCCCCCAAGTGTGGATGGTAACCTGTCATGCTTGTCCAAGTCATCAGCGAGTCTACGTGCTACAATTTTCTCTAGAAGCTTGCCCGTAGTGTTCTGCGTGTTAATGATTCGGTGTTCTTTGGACAACAGGATTGTTAGAGCTGATGTTCCTAGACTCAAAATAAATGGCAGGCACATCAAAAGAGACAGCAGACTGGGGTACCTGGGAATCACCTTTGACAGAAGTTTGTCTTCTTAAATATCACATAAAGCGGGTTGTGACAACGGTTCAAAAAGATCTTAAGGCACTCAAGATGATGGTAACAAATGAGAGGCAGCAGAGAATGCTGTTCACACTTTACCAGCACTGAATCATTTCAGTGATTGATCATGTACTGGTGTTAATCACCATCTCTAAGAGCCAGTTAAAGGAACTGGAGTGCATACACATTGAAGCTATGCGGGTGATCTTGGGTTGTACAAGAGACACTCCGATTGTGTGCATGAGATACACCCTTGCATTGCCGAATATTGCAGATAGGCTTAAAGGTGCTACAGGCGAAGTCATACCTCAGAGTAATTGCAAATAGAGAACACACTCTGTATGAAACTTTGGCTGCAGGTAAGAGTCAGGGGCTGAAAATGGAAAAATCGTAGATGGCTGAAGCAGAAAACACAATAAGACAACTATGCAATTAGTGTATAAGGCGTTTAGAGGCCGTATTTACATCTGGGGAACTAGCAGCCTCCCTCCTTTTTCTTAGTAAAAGATGGCGGCTATCTGACGTCAAAAGATATTAACCCGAGGGTATAGTAGCTTCCCTCTTTATCCTTGGTCAAATATTGATCGGGAGGCTAGTAACGGTACCAGTGATTGGTTTTCCGGGATGCTGTAGATCCATATATATATATGGTGCTATTCTATAAGGACATGGCTTTGGGTATTTCTCAGAGATACATACATACACACGATACATACATACATACATACATACATACACACACACACACATATACATACA